TGACATTGATATCAGACCTAGGAATCTGTGGCTAGACAGGTCACAGGCCATAGGGGAGAGCTAAAACTATTATTTTACTAAATAGACATCATATTAAAGCATCTCTAATGACTTATTGTACTCACAGATTAATGCATCTCTCAACTCTCACCAGAGAAGCTTCCATAAGCAGCAGATGGTGATTAACACAGAGACCCACAACTGGCCCAACAGTCAAACAAATAAATTTTTTTAAAAATGTGCTGGATCACGAGACTCTGACTCATTGCAATAAGATCCAATAACAATAACATTTTTTAAACTTTTTAAAAGATTAAGCATGGGGACTGGTGAGATGGCTCAGTGGTTAAGGGTACTGGCTGCTCTTGCAGAGGACCTGGGTTTGGTTCCCAGCACCCCTATGATAGCTAATAACCATCTATAACTCCAGTTCCAGGGGATCTGATGGGCACTGCTCTCAGATGTGCAGGTACTCACACATAGATACACACAGACATACACAGAGGCACACAGACACACAGACACAGACACACAGACACAGACACAGACACAGACACACACACACACACACACACACACACACACACACACACACACACTATGGGAAAAAAGCCAAACAAAAACTTAAACAAAAAAAGCCAACTTATGCCCATATAGAGTTAAAGCTCTTTAAAATTATTCAGAGTTTTAAATTTAAGCAGCTGAGTAACAGAATTAGGAATTTAATGAAGAACAGACTATCATGTCTCTCAGGTGGCTGATAATCTTATATTTTCTTAAAAATTATAGACTTCCATGAAAGACCCACATGAGTACTCATTACTCAGAGCTGAAAATGTTCATTTTCTTATATAATATCATCAGATTGGCTTAAAAAGTTTCACAGTGTGTTAAAAATAATTTGTTTCTTGACACCAGATCAGGTTCCACAAATGCCATTAATAGGATGTAATTGATTACAAATTTTTATTTTGTTTCTGTAGCATAATTAATCAGAAATGATTGCATGCTGATATTTTAAAGAAGTACACTTCTGAAATGTAAACTAATTAAGAAATAGAGGCATCTTTATATTCAATTTGCTTTTATACTCTGCTGGCAATTCACAATATGTTCATAACCATGGGGAACAACTGTGGCTGTGCATTGTGAAAGCATAAGGCAACACAATATGACATTGTGGTCCCGTAGAAGTACTCGACTTCATGTAGTTTTCATTTCCAACGTGTGGAAATCTGCAGCCACAATTTTACAAGTACAATATTTCCAGGCTCTTCTGGGGTAATTATAGCAAACAGCATGGCAACAAGATGTCATATGACAAATATAACATACAAGTCCAGCAGTATAACCTTTAACCCAGAAACATCAATCATTCAATAAATATCTAGTAAACATATTTAAGTCATGTCCTTTGCCTCTAAATGCTTAAAATCTAAGTGAAAACCCAATAACTATAGACATAAAATCAGTGCTAGGCTAGAGCTCACTCATATGAGCTTAAAGAGCTAATTACTGAGAGTACGGGAACTTTGTTAGACACTGCCATTACTAAATGTTAAATTATGTAAATTCACAATTTAATTATTACAAAGGCAAAATTGCACAACTCATTGCTTCCCATTTATTTTACTTTAATTTACTGTTAACTTCTTGATGCTTTTTATATCTCCAAAAGATCTAAATTCTATATAATGCTGTACAGTTCTGTATCTTTCTACCAAATTCTGGTCAAGGTTGTCTCATTGGCAGTGTGGAATTAGCCATGATGAGAATAAAATACGGAAAGCTTTGCTCTTTCTCACTCCCCTCATCACAGCCTCATTTTCTCTCACCATCAACCACCAAGTTGTGTGTATTACCTCATGGACACTCAATGAACCTGTCTTCTTATCCCTCTCCTTCCCACTCCCCATGTTCCTTCCATATGTTCTCCCGAAGGCAGCATCCAGCTATCTTGGTACATTCTACATCTCTCTATCCCCTGCACATAGTACTTCTGTGGTCTGGTGGCTCCACACCCTCCACCTCCTGTCCCCCACTGCCTTCTACTTAGCTCCCTGTAACCCTGAGCTTGTTCTTGCTTCCTAGGTTTCCCATGTTGGAACTTTGTACATGTTTAGGGTTGACATGACATTCCCTTGTCCCTTCTGCTTCCTTTCCTCCAAACTTCATGATCTTTTAAGGATCAGATAATATGACTCCAGGAAATTATTCTGACCTTTCCCAAACCCTGGTAGGGAACTCAGTAACCCTTTCATACTTTCATCTTTGTATTTATTGCATTTTAATTATGTTTGAGGATATGTCTCTGTGAGAGAGTAGGATTATTATTATACCAAACATTATGTTTCTGATTGTTGCATAATTTGAATATAGATGACTCCCAAAGAAGATGTAGAGCAAGAATCTGAATATACATTGCTTAGAAAGTTCCTATTGCTGAGGTATTATGTTTGAGACACTGTACTTTGTGCTGGAAATTAGAGATGAGCAAGACTAGGTCCTCCTTGTCATGTGCTTATAACTGATAAAATAAATAAAGCATTCCCATGAAGGGTGGTAAGTGCCACGGTAAAGATGTCAGAGAGCAGGGTGGATGCTGAGGGCATCTTGGGCAGGGTAGAGGGACAGTCCTGTGAAAGGATTCTTTGAGGAGTGGTGAAAAACAGAACTGATAAGTTAAGCAGCCAAACAGTTGAGTAGGTGTGAGATGGGAAAATGGACACATCAAAGACATGGCATTTGCAAATATGAACATGAGAAAGAAGATAATGAGTTCTGGGTAGGAGTATTCAGAGGAGAGTAGGGAAAGGTGAAGTTAAGGAAGCCTGTAAATGGTGTAAGAGCTGGAATTTTAACCTGAAAGTCATAGGAAGACACACACACACACACACACACACACACACACACACACACAGCCATTCTATTGGATTTAGTGTTTCCTTTTTATAAGTTTTCTTCAAAAAGTATGTTTGAGTATATTTTACATTTACGTAATAGTGTTGTAGGGAACTTAAATTCCTACCCTCTGTAGTGTTCTATAGACTTGGTATGAAGGAGTCATAAACAGATTATCTAGAAGTTTTCCTTTTCTAACCAACTGGTGTATTTTGGTCGTTCCCCCAATGAGCATCTATTTTGCAATAGCTAGGAGTCTGTCTTTGAGATTAATTCTGGAATTCCTAATATTTACCCTATCTCTTTGACTTTGGTGGGTGGTAATTACATCTCTGATCATTATGGTGTGCATCAGGAAGCAGTGAGATAAAAATACTCAGCAACCTCAGCAAACAGTGATCCTTGATGTGACAGGTGCTGCCTGAGCTGCTCGGCTGCTCCCTCTCTCCAGCCACTCTCCTTCTAAATCTAGAAGCTGGAGAGATTCTCCAGTGATACTTGTAATCATGCTTTCCTGGACTGCCATGGCCATTGGAGGGCCATCTGAAGAGCACAGTTGGGTTCCTCCATTCCTAAATGCAACATGTTCTCATTTCTGCAGTTTCCTTATCATCTGAGTCTTCAGATGAAACTGCATTTATACAAATAAATAATTGGTCAGATGTTAAAATAAGAATCAGCATGATTCCCAAAAAGGCAGGAAAAAGAAACCTCTCAAAAGAAATCTCAATTTCAGAAATGATTAGCATACTGGTTATAATTTTGCACTGAAATTTCAGAATTGAAATTATGTACCAAGAAGATGAACATCTGCAGTTAACTATGTGACATAGCATGCTGGCCCATTGTATCAATAAGCTGAGCCTCTAACCCTTTCACAGCTTGACAGTTTCCAACAGCTGAGCAAGTAACCACTTAACACTATTTTTTTCTTAGTCAACTCAGAGGCAGATTATTTCAGTAGAAAGATGACAGTATTATTCTAGAGTTTCTATGAAACGAGCCAAAACTGGTTTTTGTTCCTGCACTTGCTCTATGACTATTAGTTCGTCTCAGCCTCCATGAATGGGAAAAACCTACCTGATAAGAGTTATTAAAAATTACTTTACTGTTTGATGCCTGGAACATTTAGTGCCCAATGGATGATCATTCATTTTTATCATTCACTAAGAGCTAAGACACAAAAAGGCATTTTAAAAGGGAATTTGAGGGCTGGAGAATGGCTCACAGTGAAGAGCACAGGTTGCTCTTGTAGTGGACCCAAGTTCAGGTCCCAGCACCCACATGGCGGATAACAACCTTCTGTAACTCCAGTTCCAGGGCATCTATTGCCCTCTTCTGGCCTCTGCTGACACTGCATGCATGTGGTGCACTTAGGTATATGCAGGCAAAACACTCATACACATAAAATAAAAATAAGTAACTAAAAGTTTTTAAAGAGAATTTGAAAATGAAGGTGGTGTGGTGGTCCTATCATGGGTGTGCACTGACTCAGGCTCTGTATTTCTGCATCTTGAGCAAGAATTAGGAAGCAGTGGCCAGAGAGCCGAATCCAGTGGGCTATCAGTGTTTATGTCAGCCAAATAAGATGAACTGTACATGTTTAAATATGTTAGTCTCTTTCCCATCGCTGTAACAAATGCCTGAGATCAATCCACCTAAAGGAAAATGAGCCATTATGGCTCATGATTTTTGAGGTTTCAGTCCCTGATGACTTGGTCCTGTTACTTTTGGGATGTGGGAACACATAGATGAACAAACTCTTCACCTGATGGCAGCCAGGAAACAAAGACTGGAGGAGGAATTGGATGAGGTCTCCCATAATCCCTTTCAGGGCACACCTCCCACCTATTAGGCCCTGCCTTTTAAAGGTTTCAGTACCTCCTAATAATAGTTTAGGGCCAAATGCAACAGACCCAAACTAAGGCAGGAAGCAGTTTCTGTAGATCAGTGTGTACTCAATCATTGCTTATAATATTTTCCATGGGCAAATAAATTTACGAGCAATTGAGTAAGGAACTCAGCGCAATCTGTTTCCAGGTTACAGCTAACTTTATGAAGACAAATGTGAGCATTTTACATCTACCTTTGTCTCCCAGGCCAGTCAGAGAGTTTGCCATGCCAAGAGGAGCGAACACTTTCTGCTACTGCATTAAGGCTAACGTGATTGTCACCGGAGGTAAGGGGGCAGCTCGTGTCACAGAGAGATTGTTCTGGTTTGCAAACAGAGCTCTCCTTATATTTTAGGGCCATAAATAACGTTTTAGGAGAATTTCAATTTTGTCTGTTCCCGTCACTATGGCTCCTGGATTTAATGACACAATTTTAAAAGTCCAGGAATATGTGAAATAAATTTCCCTCTGCTTTATTGCTTTATTGTTATGTTTCACATTTTGCCTTTCGAACTTTAATCCATATAGAATATATTCCTTTTCTGTATGAGACCACGAGCTCCTCAGTTTGAAAGGACTCCTGGAGTCTTATAAGCAAATGATACTTGTGTGTTCTTTTGAAGAGAAAGTCTAAAACCTTACCAAACCCTCAAAAGCAGTCCATGATCAGAAAAGTCAAGAGTCAGTGGGCTAGAGATGACAGAGAAAAGGTCAAGGTCATCCCTTGAAAAGTACCAAACTCAGGGGATAGTGAGGTAGATGGTGGGAAACATCATTTTCTGAGAGTAAGGGGAAGGATGGCAGGTGGAGGACAAGAATGTTCTTTGTGATGCAGACTCTTCCTCTGCTAGAGTTTTAATGTTCTCTGATGCTTTTGAGTCTGGGCTATGGAGTCACACTAGGTGTAAATTCACCAGCGAGCTGTGTGGTGGGCAGGTTGTTTTCCTTTCTAAAGCTTTAGTCTCATCTTGAGTGGAGTCAGTAATAACACTTGCTTATAAGATTAATTATAATAATTGAAGTAGTTCAGGGACTCGATGTGATATTACATGTCTGTATTGCCAGCGCTCAGGAGGCAGAGACTGATGGTTCAGGAGTTTAAGGATATCCTGTGCCACATGAGACCATATCAATAAAAGCAGTTCAAATAAAGCATGCAGAGTGTCTTGCACCCCGGGTGTGGTGGTGCATGCCTTTAATCCCAGCATTTGGGAGGCAGAGGCAGGTGGATCTCTATAAGCCTGATCTACGTAGCTAATTCAAGGCTAGCTGGGGCTACAGGGAGACCCTGTCTCCAAAGATGCAAAATAAGTGAATGAATGAATAAATGAATGAATGAATGAATGAATAAATAGAACCTTGTACATATTAAGTGCTTAGTATTCACTCACTATTAATAAAGCTAATGATAAGAAAAAAAGTACTTCATATGGCAGAATTTAAAATTAATTGAGACAGTGAAGGCATGCCTAGAACATAGTAGGCTCTCAATAAATGTCAGTCCTGAGAGTTGATGAAATGGATCAGCAGGTAAGGACACTGACCACTAAGCCTAACAACCTGAGTTGAATCCCCAGAACCCACAATGTAGAGCAAGATAACTGATTCCTGCAAGGTGTTCTCTGACCTCCACAGATGTGCTGTAGCATATGCACATGCACACATTATTAAATAAGTATAAAAACAATTTAAAAATAAATGTCAGTGTAGTCCATTTACAACGCATGGGCAAAATTGCTTAGGTAGATATGCTGAGGTTTTGTTGGAGTAAAGAAATGTGAAGCTGTGAGTAGAAGGTCGCTATGGACACCGTGAGTGAGAAAAGGTCTGAACTATTGTGGCTGTTACCAAAATAGAAAAGGAAGAACCAGTTGCCTCAAAATTAGAAAGAGGATGCTTACATGGGAAAAGAATTGGACAAAAGCTCTGTTTTGAACTTAAAGGTTGAGCCCTGCCTAGATGGCCAATGGGAGAGTCCTTTTGATGATGGAGAGAGAGCAGACTGGGGATGAGGGATGTGAGGAATCCCAGAGCTACCCGTGGGAAGGAGGAAATAAGTACCCAGAGTGTCCTCAAATTCACCAAGGTCACTGTACAGAAGAGGACACAGACCCTAAACATGCCCTGGATGTGGGGGTGCTTGTCTGTGATCTAGCACCTGGGAGGTGGAGGCAGAAGGAGCAGGAATTCAAGGTTCTCCTCTGCTACAGAGAGAGCTTGAGGCCAGGCTGGGCTATGTGAAACAAACCCTATTAAAAACAAACAAACAAAGCAACACTGGCCACTATCAGAATTGAAAATAGAAGAAAACAGGTTACATGTGGTTGTGTGCACATGTAACCGCAGCACTTAGGAGGCTGGGGCAGAGAATGGAGACTTTAAGACCAACCTGGCCTAATATGATTAGACCTTGTCTGAAAGAAAAAAAAAAAAAAAGGAAGAAGAAAATGCCAAACATAAAAAAGTCAACGAATGCGCCACGTGGCAAAGAGCTCTAAAATGCCTGGTAAAGAAGCCAGTGTTTATGTGAGTACAAGCTACTGGCCTCTTATGTGTAGTTGTTCAAATTCCTTGTCCTCCTTCCACACATATGCCCAGAGGCAGTATCCTTGGCCCTGAAGCACCTACCCGCATTGCTAACTATAGACAGCTACATTCCTATTTCAGGGCCAGGTAATCTCCTCAGAGAATGTAAAGCTAATTTTTTTTCCCCAAGTACACGCTGCACTTTATATTTAAATTTATATTCAGCGTTCAGCCTTCCAAAATACTTATGTGAAATTAGCTTGTTTCAAGTACTATTACAAAAAATAACATAGTAGTCTCTTGAACAGAAAAAAAAAATGAAAATGGAAGTTGTAAGAGCTGGATTTAGGCTAGTCAGGTCACCGATAGACAGTATAACTTTCTGCAATCATTTCACCTCTCCTTGTTGCTTATTTTCCCTGTCTGGTAAAATCAGGGAGTTGAACTGCACACTATCCAGGATCCCTCTGACCTAAAATACTACAGTTAACAATTTTCAAAGACACCCACCTGTTCACAGGGAGGTAAGCTAAAAATATCCTTTGGAAAATTTGGGACTCAATTTGTTAATCGTATGTTACTAGATATATAATTATAGCTTTGTGTACTCAGAAGAACAAGACGTTGATGGCTGAAAATTGTTCAAATTTGACTAAGGGCATTAAGAAAACAAAGGAAGTTGGTGAGACCCTAGTGTATAGGCTGGAAGCAAGTTTCCAGACGCTTGGAGGTAATTTTAAGAATACACAGGAATCAGGTCTCTCAACTGTGGTCATTTTGATGGTCATTAAAGGAGCTTCCTGCCAAAGTCTAGATCATACACACAAGTGCTAGAATGAGATGCTTTCCAGAAAGAAGCTTACATTATCATTTCCTGATCCCTATAGCCTCTTCCTGAATCAATGTTTGTCTTGGCTTATCAGTTTCTGTAGAAATGGGCACATTTCCAAGCCCAGACAATACTCTTGTTGATGAACGGTCAAATGGTGTGGTAGAGATGAAGCAGCACACGTGCTGTGTTAGTCAGCATCCCATCAATGTAACAAAATGCCTGAAGTAATCAATTTAAAAGAAGAAAGGCGTGTTTTGGCTCACAGCTCCAGAAGTTTAAATACCTGGTGGTTTGTCCCTGCTCCTTTGGGCCTATGGTGAAGCAGACCATCATGATCGGAAAACATGGTGGAGGTGGCCTGTTTACCTTATAGGAGCCAGATAGCAGACAGAGGCAAGAGGGCTGGGGTCCTGGTATGGTTTCCAAGGGCATATCTCCCTCCCCCACAACCTTACTTCCTTTCACTAGGCTCCACCTGGCAAAGGTTCCAGCACCTCCCTGTAGCAGTGCAATTGGGGTTCTTAGAGAACATTCCAGATCTAAACTATGGCGATGTCTGTGACTCAAACTGCAACAGATTCCACATTACTGCATAGCTTCAATTAGGTAAAAATAATAGTCTTCCATCCTGCTTGAACACAAACCTTTTGACCAAGCCCTATTTAAGTAGGTGGCCTAAGAGATTTGACTTCTAAAATGTAATTGATACATGACATTATCACATTACTCTTAACGATCTCCTTGCATAACCCTTTATGCTCTCAAAAGAAAGCAAAACTTTGTGGACATCACTTTTAAAATATTTTGTAACCTCAGCATTTAAATAATTTCTAGGGAAAATGCATTGGTAGAGTTCTGGGACTTAGATGGTTTCATCATTTGTAGATAAGGGCATTTGACACCATCAACCTCAGTGTTCATTACAGTATAAAACCCTCAGCAACAGCTTATGAATCCTATTTGTGGAGTTTTTGCTCTCACGAAGGCATAAACTCTGTGACCGACAAGCAACCAATACTCTTTGCTATGCTTAATTTGTTGAATTGCTGCAGTTATGAAGACTCTATTAGTAGAAAATGCAAACTCTCAGTAACTGAAAGCACATTTCCCCACCCAGGACAATACTCTTGCTGATTATTGACTCAGCCAAGGGCATCACTAAATGTACAGTATGTGCTGCTGCTGACTCAAAACAAACAAGAGCTGTTAGGCTCAGCACAGCTGGTGTGTTAAATGTACAGGGACCTTAATGAGCTTGAGAAACAGGAGCTTTTTCAGGAAAAAACAAACTATAAAGCAAACAGAAACTACCCACTAGGCTTCGGTATTTACAAAACAAACAAACTTGTAATTTTTCTGAACCCTATTTGTTAACCATCTATATTTCTTTTACCCAATATCATTTCCATTTATCACTTTAAAAAATTAAACACCTAACTATGGAAATTTCGATGTATAAAAACCACAAATCTCGGCTCAGCAGTTAAGAGCACTGGCTGCTCTTGCCAAGGACCCAGGTTCAAATCCTAGCACCTACACGGTGGCTACCAACCATATGTCACTCCAGTTCCAGGAGATCTGACACTTCCTTCTGACCTCCATGGGCATTATATGACACAGATGCACTTACAAGCATGCAGGCAATACATTCATACACATAAAATAATAATTTTAATAAAACCCAGATCTCATACCTAGGATAGTGTGGGAGCTCTGTGTGCATTTTTTTCATATTACATTCAACAAATATCTTTATGCAATTGTTAAAGACTAGGTTCTATGAACCTTCTGCACACCAGGCTGTATTCCTAACCTTCAAGATTTCAAAATCTAATAGAAACAAGACAACTCTAGACAGTTATAATGCAAACAGGGTCTGAGTCAACAGATAATGGTGACCATAATAAAATAATACTCATGAGGTACTGT